GTGCCACCTTGATGATCCGTGACAATATTGGTGGGTAGCTCTCCGCCTCTGCGGCATCCATACTCCCCCCGTCCCAGCACCGCCAACGCGTCTACCAGCGCGCACTCATAATCCTCCACCTGAACCCGCTGGTCCAGCAGCTCAATGCAAAAATCCAAACATGCCATCTGGATCTTGGTTGATTTGAACTTATCTTCTTCTTCTGACTGCGTATCTCTCTGTCCCTTCTCCTCCTCCTCTTCTTCTTCCTCAGTCATCTGCTCATCCATGGGGTCTGGGCTGATGGGGTGTCGCTGGTCGGCTCCCTCTGTGGTGGCTACCTGCCATAATACCCTCCATGTCTTGCGCTGCCGTGGTGTGAACCGGTACTGTGGGCTCGTCCATTCATGCTCGACCTGCGTTCGGGCGAAAAACATCAACATCTGCTGCCATGGCCTCACGTGCTCGGCGATGCTCTCCTCGTCCATGTACGCCTGCAACGGGGTGTGCCGGGTCTGGTGTCGCTCTGTGCGGATGGCCTCGATGCGGACGAAGTGGCCCAGCCGTGTGATGACTCGCTGGCTGGTACGGGCAACCTGCCCCATGGCCTCCCAGATGGCCCTCGCGGCCAGTTCATCTGGGCACGTGGTGTCATCCTCGGGCCGCTGGACGCAGTTGACCAGATCATTGGGTGCGATGTTGGTCAAGTACACCGGCCATCTGGTCCGCCGCAGCCATGGGTTGGCTTCATCGTGCTCCCCGGCCTGGATGACATTGCTGGTCTGCCGTTGCTGTTCCTGGTAAAACCGCTCCAGCTCATCAATGGCCTGGCTGGCTCTGTTCTGGTCTTGCGTGCCGGTATGCTCAGTAGTCTCCTTAGTCTGGATCTGTATGTAGTGGGAGCCCTTGCGCGATGCAAATATCTGCTGGAACTGCACCTTCTGGCATGATCTGTCCACCTCATCCTGTGCTGCCGTACGCTTTTGTGGCGCTGTACGGCCACGGCTGGGATATGGCGACCAGCTGTGCTTGTTCTGCCAGTGCTTGCGCATGGTGTTCATGTTCCCTGCCACATACTGGCACTGGGGATCCCGCTGGCACCTGTAGCCATCTTGAATGGGTAGTTCCGGGATTGGTTCATTCAGTATTGTGGGCAGTGTTAACTGTGTAGTATGTGGGCAGTGTTAACTGTGTAGTATCTCGAGCCACATTGTCCCACTGTTCAATGTTCTCCTTTATCTGCTGAACCACCGCATGCTTTAGCTGATGGGCCTTGCCTTTCAGATGCTGTTCAATCTCGGTTGGCCACACAGCGTGCTTGCACCGGCGGCATATGATAATGAGGTATGATTCACAGTGGATAAATAATTGATGTTCCATGTCGATGCTGGTCTGTCTTGTGCATTGAATATATATATATTTCCTTCATTCAGTGTCTTTGTGTGAAACTTGACAGATCTGATCTGGTGTGAATGTTTGTTTTTCTGTGGTTAAAATCACTCCAGGATGAAGCCTTTCAGTTTTCTTATATGTTTTGCTATTTTTATTTACTTTGTTGATCTTGCACCGCTTTGCGCCGCTCCGTTGCCTGGGGTGAAAATATATATATTTAGTTGGGTCTGGTTGGGTTGATGGCTTACCCCATCAAACATCGCACCTCAACTCATTGACTTTGACACTAAAATTTAACCCCTTCCCGGCGGAATTATCGCTTTTGATTTGGATATGTTGTATTTCATATCCACTACGGCCTACATGCAAAGTTTGAAGTCAATTGACTCCGTGGTTGATTGGACGTTCAACGTCTGAAACCAAATGGAATGTACGTCCAATCTGCCCTGCTCTGATTGGTCGGTTTTCTAAGGTTTTCTAACCCTAAATGGAATGGACGTCCATTCCACCCCCACCTGTTGGATAGGGTTGATGGGTTCATCCAACGGGTTCGGGTCCAATGGGCTAATGCGCTCCTTGGACGGGTTTGACGTCCAACGGGTTGGGTCCAGCGTGTTCGACTTCCAACGGGTTAATGCGCTCCTGGGACGGGTTTGACGTCCAACGGGTTAATGCGCTCCTGGGACGGATTTGACGTCCAACGGGTTTGACGTCCAACGAGTTTGACGTCCAACGGGTTGGGGACCAACAGGGTTCGACGTCCAACGGGTTGGGGTCCAGCGTGTTCGACTTCCAACGGGTTAATGCGCTCATCCAACGGGTTCGACGGCCAAACAGGTTTGGGTCTAACGGGGTTGAACTTCCATGGGGATAACGGGTTTGTGCTCAATATAACCATCAATACTGACTCACTTGTCCATCCTCTGTCTCTAGCCCTCATTCTTTGTCCAACCCTAACCCGGACTCTAACACCTAATTCTTTTCCCCCAACCTCCACCCTCATCCTTGGAACCCTACCTGCTGTCCCTGGATTCTACTGCCTTTAAATTAATACAGCTTATAATCATCCTG